TTTGGAAGGCAACCAGGCACTGTGCTGCCAGGATCAGAGTCAGGTTCACAGTCTTGGCCCAGACATGTCTCTTCTGGAAGACCAGCCTAGGGAAATTATTCCACATTTAGAAAACAAAAACTAGAGGGTGGGAAATGGTCCTCACGGCATGATGCGGAGCGGAGCATGGACGCCTCCTCGCACAGCCTCTGACAGAGGGAAACCACAAAGGATGGCCTCTTTGGGCCAGTTTGCAGTATCGCGTTGCTCTGGGAGATAGGCCCTGCAGGCATGGGCGCTGGGGAGAAGATGCTGGGTGTGGGCCCACGGGCACTACAAGGACTGACTACAAGGTGCGTGGCTGCAAGATGGCAGCTGCTCGGTACCAGTCAGTCTCGTGGGAAACGCGCCCAGCAGGTCGACTGTCGATGTGCATGGTGGGGTTGTAGGCGAGTGTCCGGTACGTTGCAAACACGTCGATCTGCGTGTCTGTCACTTAACGATGGAAAGGCCCTCCAAATGGAGCCAAGTGTGTACCCAAGGAAGAGAGAATCTGGAAGTCTCTGCAGCGGCCGGAGTGTGCCTGAGGGCAGGGAGGGTCCGGCTGGTTCTCTCTCACGATCGCCACCTCAGGTGCTGGGCCTGGGGAGCTCAGCAGGCGGGTCTGGGGAGAGGCTATGGGTCACCATCTCCAGGTGCTGTTTGGGAAGGTGGAGGTGGGGGGACTTTCGATCCGTGGTCCCACCCAGGTGAGCTCTGGGATGTAGTGACATTCATGACCAGAGGAGAGTCTGAGCCAAGGAGCCTTTTGGTAGATGCTGGGAAGGAAGGGAGGCCTCTGCTGACTCCAAGTGACAGCAGCTGCAGCTGTCCCTGGTCAAGGATGCACGCTTGGCCAGTTCACACACGTGGGGGTCACTCCCCAATACTACCGGTGAGCAGAGCCCTCTCTTGTTTGAGGTGGGCGGTGTCTCCACAGCCACGCAGTGGTTTTGAGAGTCAGGCCGGGTGAAAGGTGGAGAGGTTATGTGCTGTGCCCCAGTCAGACCGGAGTCACGGCAGCAGCCCAGAGCCACTGAGCTGGGGGCTTTGAACCCCTCTCCTTGGCTGGAAGCGCTGAGCTCTGCCTTTGAGGCGAGAATGCCAGCTTGCCGCAGGCAAGAGAGCAGGGCCTTGGGGGCACAGAGCTTCCTGGTAGTAGGGAGACCAGTACCCCGTCGTCTGCGCCAGTCCCCTCTAGCCCCAACTGCACACAGGTATACCCTGGTACATGTGTACACCTGCACAAAAGCCTGTATACATCTGCATGTAGGTTAAACAGTCACATCTGCGTTCTCCTGCAAGCACACAGGAAACCTGCACATCCGTGCACATACCAGTACACACACATGCCTATACACATATGAATACATATGCACACACACATCATGTACTTTGCACACACACACCTGCATACTCCTTCCCACACTTGCAAACCACACATGTGCATACATATCTGCATACACACTGTCTACCTGTGTGCCCATTGTATCCATCCATCCCTCCACACGGGTGCGCACACAGGTACCCACACAGGCAGGTGCTGACAGGCAGGAGTTGACTACAATTACCTTTTCTCCCCGGATGCCCTTTTCACCTCGTTCTCCTTGGAGACCCTGGGGACAAAAGAAGAGCAGTGACAATATTCTACCTGGGCATCTGTCCTAACCACCCCAGGGGCCCTGTGGAGAGACAGTCTGCCCCTCTCTGACCCAGGGTGAGGCAGGGTGGTAAGGAAGGCCCTGTTGTGCCCACCAGGCAGGCAAACCACACATCTGCCCAGGGCCTATCCACCAGCACCAGTCTCTGAGCGAGTTTCCTTCCTCAGGCTGCCCTGGCCTGGTTATCCCAGTGCCCACAGCCCAGACGGAGACTCCTCCTGGCCACTTCCAAGGCACGGTGGATCAGACAGCACTGTTTATACAACACTGTGGGCAAGTGTCCGAACACCTGTGGTACTAAGTGAAATGCAGACACAAGCCGCTTCCTAGGCTGGGAACCAGGGATGTGCACTCCAGCTGGCCAGCTCCCAGGGAGGTTCTTGGGGACAGCTAAGAGTTTCTGGTTTCTTAAAGCAATCAAGAGACGACATTTCATTGTGGCCGGGATGTGGTGCATTGGGGGTGGGGGGCGGGGGTAGAGGGATCCTCTTGCATGGCTATAGAGTTTGCATGAGAGCTGGCTCGATTCCTGGAACAGTGAGTCTCCTATGCTCCCCACAACCCTCTAGTGTTCTTACTTACAGGAGCACCCACGCGTCCAGGGGGTCCGGGGAGCCCAGGTGGTCCTGCAGGCCCCTGCAGGATGGTGTTCAC